TCGTCAACGTTTCCGGATCAATCTGCAGTTTTCTCCCAAAGGGGGGGTGAATCCGTCTTCCAGCATCCGACATCAACATGTTTGACCCAATGGAGATGATTCGGGGCGACATCTGTTGCTTGGTTGCTGGTGTGGGATTCGCAGTGAACTATCTGCCGGTGAAGAGTTGCAACACTGGTGATGGAATCTTCTTTTGTGCGGCAATGTCAGTGGGAATCCTTTTCGTCGGCCTTCTGACTGGCATGTTCTTGACCAGCACCTCAGCCGTCAGTGATGTCGCCAATAACAATCGACCAATGCAAAACAGCTGTTTCTTTTTCCGAACAACAAGGCTGTTCAGTTGTGGCAGTCGATCGGAAGTCCAGTTGTGGAAGAAACAGAAGTTCCACGCTGCCGTGACCGCCGTGACCAGTTCGGAGCTAAGGCACACAAGGACTTACCATTCCTGCATTCGAGCCACTCGCTGCACTGGGCGGAGCGTTGTGGATGCTTGGGAATCTCATGTGTCCCAGGATCATCCAAATGATTGGCTCCTTGGATCTCTCTGAGGTGCTGTTTTTTCACGCTTTTGCTTTAAACACATGGTGTTTACACCTCGTTTTTGGATTCGGCCGATGGACACCAGTGGCCTGGTCTTTGCCATGGCACCCCTGGTCTTGCCGGGTTCTTTTGGGGGAATCTTGGGCCTTTCGTGGTGGCCCGCAGAACGTCTTGGTCCTGGTCCTCGCAGAAATCATGGACCAAGCGTTTCTCACAGTGGTGAGGACTTGGTCTTGGTTTGACGATGTGGGATTTGAGCAACATGCTGGTTGGCTGGCTCATCGGCCGCTTTGGCCTCTTCGGCATCAAGAAGGACGAGATCGACGAGCCAACCCTGAACCTGATAGGAGAACCGAGAAGAAGATACATTGTTTCTTTTTTCTGGGGGGGTAGGCCCGTAGAGGTAGCTAGTAGCTAGCAGAAGAGGTAGCTAGTAGCTTACTTAATCTACTACTACATATGGACGCAGGATAGCTCACGCTTCTTCAAGGAAGCTCCCCCCGCCGCCCTAAAGGCGGCGGGGGGGAGCTTCCTTGAAGAATCGCACTGTTCATTTGGTTCCTAGATTTTAGAAAAGAGCTCTCTTGCAGAGCTCTCTTGCAGAACGGACGTTGCAACCGGTTGCAACCTTGGGCAGGATTGATCCTCGCCAGCGTGTCCTTGGTCTTTTTCTCCTTGTCCTCAGTCATGAACAATCCCGAGGTGGCTGAGAAGTCTCTCACATTCAAAGCCAAAGACAATGACGAGTTTAGTTGTCAATCAACTGAACACGAACCCGACCCTGAGCGGACCCCACACCAGGAAGCAGACCTTGAAAGCAACAAGCCACTCGCAGAGCAGAGAAGTTTTGTGTATATATATATATATGTACAACCGGGGCCCGAGAGTCTGAAGCCTCAAAAGGCCTGCGAACGCG